CCAACTGACCCATGGGGTGGCCACAAATGACCTCCTGGACCCCAAAAGTGACCACGGACGGTCCATGAATGACCTTGGATGGTCCATGAATGACCTCCCAATGTCCCCAAGACCCCATAAATGACCTCAGATGGTCCCCAAAGCCCCAGAGGTGACCATGAATGACCTTCTGGACCCCATAAATGACCATGGGTGGTCCCCAAAGCCCCCCAAATTCCCCCAGACCCCTCCCCAGACCCCACAGACCTTCAGGGATGGCAGCCACGGCCAGGGCCACGGCGATCTTGAAGTAGTAGATGGGGTCAGAGCCCCCATCACGACCACATGGGTGGTCCCCAAAGCCCCATAAATGACCATGGGTGGTCCCCAAAGCCCCCCAAAGCCCCCCCAGACCCCCCAATACCTTCAGGGATGGCGGCCACGGCGAGGGCCACGGCGATCTTGAAGTAGTAGATGGGGGTCAGAGCCCCCATCAATGACCATGGGTGGTCCCCAAAGCCCCATAAATGACCATGGGTGGTTCCCAAAGCCCCCCAAAGCCCCCCCAGACCCCCCAATACCTTCAGGGATGGCGGCCACGGCGAGGGCCACGGCGATCTTGAAGTAGTAGATGGCCCCCCGGATCCAGGAGCCGCCGTGCACGGGGTCGTTGAAGTGGCCGATGTTGATGGCCCAGACGGCCACGCAGATGAGGGAGATGACCTTGGAGAGCTGCTCCCCGAACTCGTCCAGCTTCTGCTGCAGCGGCGTCTTGTCCTGCTCCGTGGCCGCCATCTCGTCCCGGATCTTCCCGATCTCCGTGTTCACCCCCGTGGCCACCACCACGCCCACCGCCTTCCCTGCCCCGATGTTGGTGCCCTGGGGGGACATTGGGGACAATCAGAACCCCCCCAAAACCTCCTGAGATCCCCCAATGTCCCCATGGACCCCCCAATGTCCCCATCTCATCCCGATCTCCGTGTTCACCCCCGTGGCCACCACCACGCCCACCGCCTTCCCTGCCCCGATGTTGGTGCCCTGGGGGGACATTGGGGACAATCAGGAGACATCAGGGACCTCACAGAGTGTCCCCAATCCCCAGGACCCCCCAATGTCCCCATGGACCCCCCAATGTCCCCATCTCATCCCGATCTCCGTGTTCACCCCCGTGGCCACCACCACGCCCACCGCCTTCCCTGCCCCGATGTTCGTGCCCTGGGGGACATCAGGGGGTGTCACAACCCCCCCAGGACCCCCTGAGATCCCCCATGTACCCCCCCCAATGTCCCCATCTCGTCCCGGATCTTCCCGATCTCCGTGTTCACCCCCGTGGCCACCACCACGCCCACCGCCTTCCCTGCACCGATGTTGGTACCCTGGGGGACATCAGGGGGTGTCACAACCCCCCAGAACCCCCTGAGATCCCCCAAAACCTCCTGAGATCCCCCAGGACCCCCCAATGTCCCCATCTCATCCCGATCTCCGTGTTCACCCCCGTGACCACCACCACGCCCACCGCCTTCCCTGCCCCGATGTTGGTGCCCTGGGGGGACATTGGGGACATTAGGACATTGGACAGCAGGGCCAGCAGGGACACTCAGGGGTGTCACAATCCCCAGGACCCCCAGTGTCCCCAATCGTCCCTCATGCGATCTCCAGTGTCACCCCGTGGCCACCACCACGCCCACCGCCTTCCCTGCCCCGATGTTGGTGCCCTGGGGGACATCAGGGGGTGTCACAAACCCCCCCAGAACCCCCTGAGATCCCCCAAAACCTCCTGAGATCCCCCAGGACCCCCCAGTGTCCCCATGGACCCCCAATGTCCCCATGGACCCCCCAATGTCCCCATCTCGTCCCGGATCTTCCCGATCTCCGTGTGACCCTGAGGTGACACAGAGGGCAGGTGACACAGGTGACACTGGGGTGACACAGGAGGTGACACAGGGGGTGACAGGTGACATTCAGGTGACACAGAGGTGACACAGGGGGTGACCCAGGTGACACTCAGGTGACCCAGGTGACACCCAGGTGACACAGGAGGTGACACAGGTGACACTCAGGTGACACTCAGGTGACACAGGAGGTGACCCAGGTGACACAGGGGTGACACTGAGGTGACCCAGAAGGTGACACAGGTGACAGGTGACAGGTGACACTCAGGTGACACAGGGGTGACACAGGAGGTGACAGGTGACCCAGGTGTCACTCACAGAGAAGAGCATGTTCTTCTTGTCCTGGTTGACGGCGCGGGGGTCGGGGACGGGGAGGGGACACAGGGGGTGACACTGGGGTGACAGATGACACACAGGTGACACAGGTAACCCTCAGGTGACACTCAGGTGACACAGAAGGTGACACAGAAGGTGACACTCAGGTGACACTCACAGAGAAGAGCATGTTCTTCTTGTCCTGGTTGACGGCGCAGGGGTCGGGACAGGGAGGGGACACAGGGAGGGGACACAGGGGGTGACACAGGAGGTGACACAGGTGACACAGAAGGTGACAGGTGACACTGAAGGTGACACAGGTGACAGGTGACACTCACAGAGAAGAGCATGTTCTTCTTGTCCTGGTTGACGGCGCGGGGGTCGGGGACGGGGTCCGTGTGTTTGATCACTGACACCGACTCGCCTGCCACCAGTACAGACCAGTATAAACCAGTGCGGACCAGTATAAACCGGTACAGACCAGTATAAACCAGTGCGGACCAGTATAAACCAGTACAGACCGGTACAGACCGCTACAAACCAGTATAAACCAGTACAACCAGTATAAACCGGTACAAACCAGTATAAACCAGTGCGGACCAGTACAAATTGGTACAGACCAGTATAAACCAGTGCGGACCAGTATAAACCAGTACAGACCAGTACAGACTGGTACAAACCGGTATAAACCAGTATGAACCATTATAAACCAGTATGGACAGCAGTGACTCCCCCAGGAGGGACCGACACGGGCCCAGCACCCCCACACACACACCCCCCTGATCCCCCCAAGAGATCCCAGTACGGACCAGTATAAACCAGTATAAACCAGTATAAACCAGTACAGACCAGTATAAACCAGTACAAACCAGTATAAACTGGTGTAAACCAGTACAACCAGTATGAACCGGTACGAACCGGTATAAACCAGTACAGGCCAGTATGGATCAGTATAGATCAGTATGAACTGGTACAAACCAGTATAAACCACTAAGAACTGGTATAAACCAGTACAAACCAGTACGGACCAGTAAAAACCAGTATAACTAGTATAAACCGGTACAAACCAGTATAGACCAGTACGGACCAGTATAAACCACTATGAACTGGTACAGACCAGTATGAACCGGTACAGACCAGTAGAGCCCCAGTTTGCTGCCCAACCCCTCCCGGTACCTCCCAGTCCCCTCTCAGTCCCTCCCAGTCCCTCCCAATCCCCTCCCAGTCCCCTCCCAGTGCCTCCCAGTCCCCTCCCAGTCCCTCCTCCCAGTCCCCTCACACTCCCTCCCCAGTCCCTCCCAGTCCCTTCCTCAGTCCTCCCAGTCCCTCCCAATCCCTCCCAGTCCCTCCCAGTTTATTCCAATCCCCTCCCAGTCCCTCCCAGTTTATTCCAATCCCCTCCCAGTGCCCCCCAGTGCCCCCAGTACCGGTGAGGATGGACTGGTCCACGCGCAGGGTGGTGGATTTGATGGAGATGATCCGGATGTCGGCCGGGACTTTGTCACCAACTGGGGACACGGGGGGGTCACTGGGATGGACTGGGAGGGACTGGGAGGGACTCTGGGGGTCACTGGGATGGGCTGGGAGCTACTGGGATAGACTGGGAGGGACTCTGGGGGTCACTGGGACGGACTGGGTGACCCCTGGGTGACCCCTGGGTGACCCCTGGGTGACCCCTGGGTGTCCCTGTGACCCCTGGGTGACCCCTGGGTGACCCCTGTGACCCCTGGGTGACCCCTGGGTGTCCCCTGGGTGACCCCTGGGTGTCCCTGGGTGACCCCTGGGTGTCCCTGTGTGACCCCTGAGTGACCCCTGGGTGACCCCTGAGTGACCCCTGGGTGACCCCTGGGTGACCCCTGGGTGACCCCAATGTCCCCAATGTCCCCAATGTCCCCACCTGCCACCTCGGCGATGTCCCCCGGGACGAGGTCCCTGGCCTTGATCCTCTGCACGGCCTGGGTGACCCCTGGGTGTCCCTGTGACCCCTGGGTGACCCTGGGTGTCCCTGTGACCCCTGGGTGTCCCTGTGACCCCTGGGTGACCCCTGTGTGTCCCCACCTGCCACCTCAGCGATGTCCCCCGGGACGAGGTCCCTGGCCTTGATCCTCTGCACGGCCTGGGGTGACCCCTGGGTGTCCCTGTGACCCCTGGGTGACCCCTGGGTGACCCCTGGGTGACCCTGTGACCCCAATGTCCCCAATGTCCCCACCTGCCACCTCAGCGATGTCCCCCGGGACGAGGTCCCTGGCCTTGATCCTCTGCACGGCTTTCCTGTCGGCCCTGTAGACCTTCCCCATCTCGGGCTCGTACTCCTTGAGAGCCTCGATGGCATTTTCAGCGTTCCGCTCCTGGGGGGACATTGGGGACATGTCAGGACACAGCAGGGGACACTGGGGACAGCTCAGAGACAGCATTGGGGACATTGGGGACATTGGGGACACAGGGACAGCTCAGGGGGCTCGCACTCCTTGAGAGCCTCAATGGTGTTCTCGGCGTTCCGCTCCTGGGGGGACACAGGGACAGCTCAGGGACAGCATTGGGGACATTGGGGACATTGGGGAGAGCTCAGGGGACATTGGGGACATTGGGGACATTGGGGACATCACAGGGGACACAGGGACAGCTCAGGGGACACATCAGGGACAGTTCAGGGGACATTGGGGACACAGGGACAGCTCAGGGGGCTGAGACTCCTTGAGGGCCTCGATGGCATTCTCGGCATTGCGCTCCTGGGGACACATTGGGGACACATCAGGACACAGCAGGGGACACTGGGGACATTGGGGACACAGGGACAGCTCAGGGGACACAGGGACAGCTCAGGGGGCTCGTACTCCTTGAGGGCCTCGATGGCGTTCTCGGCATTGCGCTCCTGGGGGGACAGTGGGGACACATCAGGACACAGCAGGACACAGCAGGGACATTGGGGACACAGGGACAGCTCAGGGGACATTGGGGACATCATTGGGGACATTGGGGACATCATTGGGGACATTGGGGACAGCTCAGGGGACATTGGGGACACAGGGACAGCTCAGGGGGCTGAGACTCCTTGAGAGCCTCGATGGCGTTCTCGGCGTTCCGTTCCTGGGGGGACAGGGACAGCGTTGGGGACACTGGGGACATTGGGGACATTGGGGACATCACTGGGGACATTGGGGACATTGGGGACACAGGGACAGCTCAGGGACATTGGGGACACAGGGACAGCTCAGGGGGCTCGCACTCCTTGAGGGCCTCGATGGCGTTCTCGGCGTTCCGCTCCTGGGGGGACATGGGGGACATCACTGGGGACATTGGGGACATCATTGGGGACACAGGGACAGCATTGGGGACACAGGGACAGCTCAGGGGACATTGGGGACATCATTGGGGACAGCATTGGGGACACAGGGACAGCTCAGGGGGCTCGTACTCCTTCAGGGCCTCGATGGCGTTTCAGCGTTCCGCTCCTGGGGGGACAGTGGGGACACGTCAGGACACAGCAGGGGACATTGGGGACACAGTGGGGGACATTGGGGACACAGGGACAGCTCAGGGGGCTGAGACTCCTTCAGGGCCTCGATGGCATTCTCAGCATTGCGCTCCTGGGGGGACATGGGGGACATCAGTGGGGACATTGGGGACAGTTCAGGGGACATTGGGGACAGCTCAGGGGCCACAGGGGACACAGCAGGGGACATCATTGGGGACATCATTGGGGACACAGGGACAGCTCAGGGGGCTGAGACTCCTTGAGGGCCTCGATGGCGTTCTCGGCATTGCGCTCCTGGGGACACAGGGACAGCTCAGGGGACAGCTCAGGGGACACTGGGGACAGTGGGGACATTGGGGACAGCATTGGGGACACAGGATGCCTAGGGGCTGAGATCTGAGGGCCTCGATGGTATTCTCTGCATTGAGCCCCAAAGGACAGTCAGGGGCTTGAGACCTTCAGAGCCTCACAGCATTTCGGTGTCTTCCTGGGACACAGGGACATCATTGTGACACTCACTGCACACAGGCCAGCT